AGAAGGAACTGCTAGACTCTTGGCCTTTCTCTAGGGACTAGAACTTCTCCAGGTCTCAGTGCAACCACCAAGCCCTCAGCACTAACAATCCAGAGACAGTGTGGTCTGAGCAGAACCTTGGCCAGCAAGTGAGGACATCTATCTGAATGCAAGTCCTGGCTGGTCATGGGCTGCTAAGGATTTTAACCTCCTTTTTATACCTGGGAACTTCTCAACTGTGCCTACTTTGCTGGGGCAGGCAGCCTGCACTGGCCAGGAAGGTAAGGCAGTGTTGAGTGATGCCTAGGGACAAACCATGGGATTTGACAACAGAAGAGGGTGGGGACAGATGCCTAAATGACTTGATTTTCCAGAAAGTTAAATGAGAGAAATTTAAAATTTCTCTCTGGTATTCTCTTTAGTCAGATTTTTGAAAAGTAGATTAATTATAAAAAAGTCACATGGTGACTCACGCCTGTAATCCCAATAGTTTAGGAGGCACCTGCTGACCTTTGCGCCACAACACTCAATCCTGATATAGAAACATTCACAAATCAGATTGCTGTGTTGCCATGGCTGCACCAAAACAAAGTCTCCTCTAACTTACTCTCTCCCCGAAACTGAAGATCCATCATGCCCAATCCTCTATCCTGTAGCTTTCTGGATTTCTTGAAGCATTTCAATAATTTTCATTACACGTGCTAAATTATTTTGTTTAGCACAGGGTCAGAAACTACAGCCTGGGATTCCAATCTGCAGATACAGACCTGTGATCTAGATCTTTACATCCCATGAGTGAAGAACAGTATTTATGTTTTTGAGTGGCTGAAAAAAAAACTAAAAGAAGAATTGTATTTTGTGAAAAATTATATGAAATTGGATTTCACGGTTCATAAATAAACACGGCCATAGGTCCTCGTGTCGTTTACATTGCTATGGTGTTGCACTGTAGCTGCTTTTGTATGGCAGAATCGAATAGTTGTGACATAGACCACATGACTCACACAGCCTGCAATGTCTATCATCTGGCTCTGTTTAGGAAAAATTTAGTTTTTTAACTGACCCCTGTTTTAGGTAAAGGGCAGGTTACGGGATCACGCTATTTGCAAAATCACCCTGTTGTGGAATGAATGTTGTGTCTTCCTAAATTTCATATTGTTGAAGCCCTGATCCCAGTGTGGTGGTACTTGGAGGTAGGTCTTTTGGGAGGTAATTAGGTTTAGATGAGGTCATGAGAGAGGCCCTTATGATGGGATTAGTGTTCTTGTAAGAACAGGAAGAGAGACTAGAGTGCACATCCTGCTGTAAGGACATAGCAAGAAGGGGCCACCTGCAAGCCAGGAAGAGAGCCCTCACCAGCAGCCAAATCTGCTGACACCTTAATTTTGGATTTCTCAGTCTTGAGCACTGTGATAAACACATTTCTGTAGTTTAAGCCACCCAGTCTGTGCTACTTTGTTGTAGCAGCCTGAGCAGAACTTACACATAGCTACACACACAAATCAAGGAAGAAAATACACCAAAATAGGGGTTATCTCTGGGCATTAAGGTTACACAAAATTATTTTAAAATTTTCACCAAATACATTAAACATAAAAGCTTAAAAAGAGAATATTAGTGACATTAGAAAAATAAGATGGTAGTATTTACTCTGTCTTACTGTAGGCCAGACACTGTTAGTGGTTGACATGCTTCCTTTCACCTGGTCCCCATTCCACCCCTATGCACAGGCTCCGCTGCAACCCTGTTCTACAGAGGAAGAAAGGAAGACTCAGGGAATTTAAGTAACTTGTCCAGGTCACTCTGCTAGAAAGGAACACTTTGTATATTTATGGTGGAAATACACTTCAGAAGTGATAGGGAATTGGGCTGAAAATAGGGATTGGCTTTGGAAGAGTTGTATTTGAATTCATGGGAGACTAATCCTAGCAGATAATGAAGATGATGGGATGCTTCAGATATCCTCATGTCTAATCTACCTCACCAGATTGCTGTGGAAATGAGATAGAATGCATTTAGAAGTACCTGGAAAATGGTAGAGCACTGTACTAATGGAGGTTGGATGTTGAGAAACTCGTCAATATCTCACCTTCATTAGGCTGACTTCCCCACTTCTTCCATCAAACTTTTCTTGAAGTAGAAACAACATAAATGTCCAAGAAGAGAGGACTGGTTGACTAAACTATGGTGCCTCCACACAACGGAATAGTATGCAACAATTAAAGAACCAGGCGATAATCACCCTGTTGCTGTATTTTTAGCGTTGTGGTTTAGAGGCTGTTCTGTGTAGTATAAAGCAAATGAGTCATTATGCTATCATCCACAGTGCCCTTGAAAGTCAGGATTCTCAGGGTAGAGAAAAGAGGCACAGATGTAAGAAACGAGTGGTTAAATAAAATCCCCTGTAGGTCAGAATTTGAATTAAAAGTATCAGTATGAACTCATGATGTATTTTTATTATAAACAACAACACATTTCCTAGCTCGGTCAACTGAAAAGGGCTAGATATGATAAACTATCTAGGAACAATGAAACATTCTTAAGTGCCTAGATTTTAGTCTCTAAATACCATTTGCCACTAAGAGGAATCAGGGGTCCTTGGAGAAATGGCTTATTCTGGGTAAGGGCAAAGACTGGAATATCTTAGCTTCCTTGCTATTTGGATGACATCAAAGATCACTAGGGCTGTGCCAGAAAGAGCCAACTGGCCAGAGATGGCAAAATCCAAGCATCAATAAAAATAATAAGCAAACAGATTAAAACCTAGCACGTATGTTGAAACCCATGAGTTCACAAAGATAGTAAAATCAAAACAGTAGACCCTAATGTTTACCATAGGAAGATAACAGTAAACCACTCATTTTGAAAACTGGAAAATGAAGGGAGAGAATCAAACATTTATCCTGCTTTTCTTATGTGAATTGTACTGCTAGTTAATCCCATAGTGGTGGAGGGAAGTTTCTCTTTATGAAAGTATTCCAGCTAATAAGTGAAGAAAGAATAAAATTAGTATGTCATCATTTTGTAACCTCTAATTAACTAATGGATATAAGTGATAGACATCAATATCTGCAAAAAGGGCAAAAAGAGAGGTGGCTAGACATGTGCCTTCAGATAGGAGAGCACCACACAATCTATGAAGTAGTTTTGTCCATAAAAATCAAGACTAAATCTGATTAAATATCTAAAAAAACTAATTTATAGGAAAGAGAGATGATAGAAGAACATTCTAAATAGTACCACAGGGCTGCAATCAGAAAAATCTAGAGCTTGGAACTCTATAGGACAAAGGATCTAATTCCTTCATCAAATACATTGCAAGGGGATGTGAGAAGGGGAGGGAGATAAAGGATATTGTGGCAATGTTAAAACAAAAGGATCCTTTTTGTAAGAGATACATATCTAAGTTTACAGATGAAATGCTGCAATATCTTGGATTTGTTTTAAAGTAACTTGGTGGCAGGTGAAAAAGCAGGTGGGGTTAGAGATAAAGCAAGATCAGACGTGTACTGATGATTTTTACGGCTGGATGAGGGTCTATAAAGGTTTGCTGTTTTGCTGTTTCCACTTTTCCAAGTGTTTAAAAGTTTTCATAATAGAAAATTAAAATAAATCCCTCCTATGTCATGCTTGGAGTGGTAACACTGTGCTAGATGCATCAAGGTTCTCACCAGTATCACTCTTCTTGTGTTTCATAAATATTGGAGCTTTGAGCTTCAGCTCGCTCATGCAGGAAACCCCCACGGAACTTCCCTGTCACTCTCCTCTCTGGCCATGTCAATATGGTGCTTCAAAGTATACGTACATACACATAAGCAAAAATATCTCAGCAAAGAGCTCTCATGACTCAAACATTCTACTTTGAAGCTGCAAGGGGTATATGAAGGAGTCATGATTTCATGATTGGCACAGGCATTCGATGGAGCTCGTGACCAGGGGAGAGAAGAAGATAGTTATGGTGTTGAGGCTGGTAGGTGTTTTCATCTTGAAGTTCTGAGCAAATGACAAGGCAAATCCGGATGATAAGTGACACTGTGTTCTCACCCCATTATTTGCATTGGTGTAGCTACACTGAGTTTCCTAAATCAGACAATAATGTCTGCAAGAGAGCAAACTACCCAAATTCTTTACCGGGGGCCCTAGACGTGAGAGATGTAAGTGGGGTCAAGGAGATAAGCAAAATCTTAAGCCCTGTCACTGGGTGTGGGATGGTGACAGGAAATAGAAATTAGGGGCCAGGAAGTAAGAAACCAACCCAATGCTTATTTTTAGAAATGGCACCTCCCAGCCGTCAAAATTTAGTCTGCTGGTTAGGGTGGTTCCTGTTTCTTTAGCCAGCATCATCAGCATCTGTGAGCATCCTAATTGTGTCCTACAGGGTTGGGAGTCCCTCCTGCAGGTTTGCTTTAACCCAGGGTTCACCCATTTGGGGCACTTTTCACACTGTTGAAGTTGCCCATTTACTTGTCTGTCTCCCATACTTGCTGGTAACCTCGCTGAGAACGGGCTTTTGCCTGTTCTTTGTGGTATCTTATCACATAGCGCAGAGCCTGGAATATAGATGTGCGTAAAAAATATTCACTGCAGAGCTGGAGATCGCTGCGGAAGCAGTGTAGAGAGGTGGTTATCAGTGTGGGCTTCAGAGGTAGACAGATGTGGGTTTGACTCATGGCCCTGCCAACTCACTACACCCACTTCCCCAATGCTGTGTTCTGGTTTCCAGATTCTACCACTGACTTATTACAAGGCTTCAGATTTTGTAAAACACTTTGAGGCTTTCCTGGAACAAATAAAGCATATAACTGCACATTTTGGTTTCTAGGTAATATCGTAACTCCTCTAGGAAAATGATCCTGGGATTTTGCTGTGCACTTATCTGAAATGATTTCCACTGATGAACTTAAAAATAACCAAATATGAAATTTTAACTACCCACAATGCCTTGAACTTGTGTTAATAGGTCAGGCAATGAAGTGGACAAATGAACACCTTATGACAACCACTTGAGTAGATAAGCAAACCTGGGCGTCTTCAAATGTATATCTCCCTCCATCTTTGACATTTTGACTGGTAATCTCATAGCTGTGAGAATCCAGGTTGATTGCACTTGGAGCCCCTGGAGCCAGAAACTCTTGCCAGATTTCTTCTACCCTCTTGGCCACATCCTGTAGGGGTTGTTTCTTAAGATCTTGGACAGCCAGCCAGAACCTGAAGTGGGAGCAGAAACACAGTCAGTTCCAGAGGGCTCAGCATCGGGATGTTGCTGGAGATGGCCCCAGAGCTGATGTCCCATGAAATCCATTCTGCTGCATCTCTCAGCCTGCCCTGATGCCACTATGTGGGACTGCAAAGACCATGGAGATTGCTGAAAATATCAAAGGTGTTCCTATTGTGCAGAACAGAAAAGAATTGCATATTAAAAGATCAATGTGCTTCTCGTTATCAAAACGAGATTTCTCTCCCTCTACATGAAGATTTCTCAACCTCAGCACTATTGCCACTTCAGGCTGGATAATTCTTTGTTGTTGAGGCTATTCTGTGTAATGTACGATGTTTAGCAGCAACCTTGGCCTCTACCCACTAGATGCCAATAACAACCCCCCTTCCCAAGTGTTGACAACTAAAAATGTTTCAAAACATTGCCCCATGTCCCCTGGGAGATGAACTCATTCCTGGTTGAGAACACCTGTGCTACATACATGCCACCATGCAGACAGTGTGAGTCCCTTTGTCAAATCTAGTTGGGATCAACTGATGGCATCAACATGGAGGAAAGATCACAGAAGAGGCAGGATTCTGGAATCATAAAGACTATCTGTGTAAGAATAAACCAGCCATTCCTATTATAGATGGAGAAACTGAGCCAGTGCACATCAGTGCTCAGCATGGTGCTTGGCAAATAGTAGGCGCTCAATACGTGGGTTTCAGAGTGAAGATGGGCGCATCTGGAACAATGCTGAAGAGGCATACCATGAAAATTTCTCTGCAGAATGGTTCTCCTTATGCAGAGGGAAAGAGAGAAAAATCTGCTCACTTCCGTATTTGCCTCTGTTTAATCCCTCAGCATCCACATGGGAGCAGGGAGTGCTTTTCTGCTGAGAGCAGCAGCAGCCAGAGCCAAAGCTTGGACAACAGCTACTGGGTCTTGAGGATGGTTCCCAAGGCAGCCTTGCAGCAGGATCCAGGTCTGGCTGTCATATCCTTTGCCCTGTGAACGGACAGGCCAGCTCCCCCATCAGTGAGTAAGAGAGTAGGTCCTGTGCTGGTTCCCACAGCAGTGGGAATCACAGGTAGTCTAGTCAACAGAAAGGGAGGGACAAGCAAAGTTGAACCACGACATGGTGGAAAGTGCGGACAGTGCATTCAATCTGTCATCAAATTTCATCCAAAGTAAGATGTACTTGGGTTTTGTGTGTGTGTGTGTGTGTGTGTGTGTGTGTGTGTGCGCGCGCGCGAGGGTGGGGGGCGGTGGTTAAACATGTTTTTCAGTTGCTGTTCAGAGAAATGTCTTTGGAGCCAAGTGCATGGCCCAAAGGTGCCACTCAGTGGCAGACTGGAGTAATGCAACCCCATTTCTGCAAGGCGAGCAGACTGTGTGTGTGTGTGTGTGTGTGAGTGTATGTGTGTCTGTGTGTGTGTCCCCAAATGCTGGGCTCCAACTCTTCCCCTGATGTGCCATTTTTTGCCATTTAGGATTCTGATGATATCCTTACAGCGACCCCTCAGTGACCCTGTAGAGCCAAGCGTAAGGCAGAGAAGGCTTCACAGCTTCCATCAGATCGGGAAGCAGGCTCTGCCCTCGTCCTGTCTATGCCGTATTTTGCCTTGGTGCGCCTTTCTGGGTGCCTCTCTCTTCATCTCTGAAACGGGCACTGAGTGGATGGAGGGATATGTGGCACGGCTCTGGAAATCCTGCTATCCAGACTTAACTCAGAAATGCTTTCAGGTCCTGTGAGGGGGAGCTGAGGAAGGGTCAGTGTGGCGGCCACAGGCTCAGTGCTGGCCCAGCGTGATCCCTCGGATTCCAGCCCTCTCTCTGCAGATGGCCTGGGCAGATACTACTGCCCAGCTCTTGCTGCTGCCATCTGGCGTCCCCTGCCCTTCTGCAGCTCTCTGACAGCCGCAAGTCCTGGGTGCTCAGGTCCTTCTGGCTTCTGGCTGAGAGGAAAGTAGTCGTGTTCCTTTATCCCAAGTCCGGAGACGGTGGGGAAGGAAGGGCTTGAAAGGAGCTGTTCCCCTGCCTCATTGTTCAGGCGGGCCCTTGACTCTCGAGCTGGGGCACTGGTCTCCTCCATCTCCCTTGCCTCCATCTCCCTTGCCTCCATCTCCCTTGCCTCCATCTCCCTTGCCTCCATCTCCCTTGCCTCCACCTCCCTTGCCTGCCCTAGGTTCCGTAGGGCCCTCTGTCCACTCTCTCAGGCCTGCCGTGAAAAGAAGGCAGTGGCTGGGAGGCTTGCAGGTGAAAACGGCCACCTGCCGACAAGAGCACCTACAAGGCTTTCTCTGCCTGGAAGGCCGCGTCTGACCAGTAGGTGAACGATGCGGGAACCTGGCTCTAAAGGAAGACGCCAGTGCTGGTTTTTCCAAGGACCAGAAGGGGTCACGTGTCCAGAGACGAAGTCAGTGAGTGCTCCTCAGCCGCGTGCTGGGCAGACAGGAGAACCAGGTTCACACAGCGAGGCCGCCTGGGCTGAATCCCCGGCTGGAAGCAACCTTCTAGGTCAGCGTCTTCCCATGCCCCCGGCCCCTGCAACTCCTCACACAAATGGATGACACCTGGGTGATTTCCTGCCCCCTCAATCAATGCCACATGGGAGGTCACCTTCTGTCATCTCTGTTAGCACTGAGAAGGAGCTGTGAGCCCCTCTGGGAAGGCCCTGAGGACCCCGGGAGCTCTGCACGCTCTCTGCGGTTCCTGAGGACTCAGGGTCCCTTTTGCAGGATGGTTTGGGGGCCACATGAAAATGCACATCACTCAGCTGGATACAGAGATGTCCCGGAGCTGATGGAAATACAAATTTCAGAATCATTTTTTTTGGTGGGGAGACAGGATCTTACTTTGTCACCCAAACTGGAGTGCAGTGGCTCCATCTTGGCTCACTGCAACCTCCGCCTCTCAGGTTCAAGCAATTCTCCTGTCTCAGCCTCCTGAGTAGCTGGGATTACAGGGGCATGTCACCATGCTCAGCTAATTTTTGCATTTTTAGCAGAGACGGGGTTTCACCATGTTGGCTGGTCTGGTCTTGAACTCCTGACCTCAAGTAATCTGCCTGCCTCAGCCTCCCAAAATGCTGGGATGATAGGCGTGAACCATTGCACCAGGTCCCAGAATCAAATTTAATAAACTTTTATGTAAAAATAAAAAGGTTTTCTTTGTCACATAAAACCAAGAATTTTTTTAAGTACAAGTGAAAACAACAGGCATGCTGGAGGAAGATGAAGAGGAGGGGAAAGAAAAGGAGGGAAGGAGAGGGAAAGGGGAAGAAGGCAGAGGCGGGGTATGGGTAACATTCCTTAGACAGCAGTTTTCTCCCCTGCACACACACTGGACTCTCCCCTGCCTTCTGTCTGCCTTGGAGTTGACCTGCCTTGTCTCTCTCAGGCAACAGCAAAACTGCTGTCACAACAGCATCCTGACGTCCCGTATGTGTTCACCATCGCTGGTTTTGAGGAACCTTTGTGCCAATTTGAAATTCAGAACAGGCTTTGGTTAGTGTTGGCCATCTTCGAGCCCCACAGGCCTGAGCCGGGAACTCGGAACCCAGGCTGCCCAGGCCACACTTCCCCCTGCAGAGAGCCACAGCAGCTCCTCTCTGCACATCTGCTGTCCATGGGAGGCCCACTGAGGCTTTGGAAGCTTCTGCTCTTATCAAAAACCTGCAGGTACCGCTCCTCCTTGAGGGCAGTGGCAGGGAGTGAAATGCCAGTAGCCGCATGAAATCCACCCATCCTGTACTAAGCCTCCACGGCTTGCAGCAGAAGGGCCGTTGTGACTGGCAGGACACAAGGACTGGTATCTGGGAGACCACCTGTCCTGCCTCGTCCCTGGTCCCTGCCGATTGTCATAGCAGCAGTGGGGAGGCAGCCCCTGTGCAGGCATTTGATCTGTGTTCATGACTTAGAAATGCTGGCGGGGAAACTAGCTTTTGGAGTGAGACAGCCTGGGCTCAGATACCACTGGGGCGAAGCCGTGGAGAACAGGACTGGAGGACCATCTAGGGGCTGCCCCAGCGGGAGCCTCCTTTCTCCTTAGAGGCTTTCAAGGAAAGGATTTTCTCAAGGCTGGCTGGGTAAGACAAACCATTCGGCCCTTGATCATTCTCCATCCTACCAGGAGGTCTGGGCAGCCCCTTAGTCACCGGTTAACTTTTCATAAACTAGAATTTTCATGGGTTAGAAAATACAGCTTTTGGTTCGTTCCCAGAGAAAAAGCAAACTCCAGGAGAGAAGAAAGTGTTTCTGTGCCCTCTGCTGGTCAACCGGAGATGTAGGAAGCAGGGCTTAAACTTGGTTTAGTTCCTGGCGGGGCTGAAATTCCCGGGTGCCTACATAAGTAAGTAACCACCCCCAGCACCACTGAAGCTGAGTTCTGTTCACTGGGCAGTGGCTGAAACACTGCAGATGGTTGTGGTGTCGTGGAAGTCACCTCTGTTCCTATTAATCATGGGTTTGGTAAGTGGTGGATCCTGCTGGGCCTAGTGAACCTTCTGAGGTCTTCCTAGGACTCAGGGCAACTGCCAGAGACGAGAGCTCTCCAGACGAACCTGGCACCCCACTGTGTTCTCTTTTAATTGCTTCTCCCTTCAGCCGACACTGTGTGGAACTCGGATCATCAATCTGCAGGTTAGAAGAACAACTACCTTCTCTCAGGAGATGTTACAGCTCATAAAAAATGTACGGGGGACACTCTTTGCTGTGGGTTTTGATTTTTAACTCATTCTGTGCCATGCAGCAGAGAGTATCAAGCCAGGGAGGACAAAGATTTGTGTAGGAGAAATGTGAGAGAGGGTGAAAAGATGGCAAGGAGAGACTGTCATTATTCTGGGAAAATGCACAAAGCAGGCAGAAGGATGAGGCCAAGAAACGGAGTGGAGCTCCCTGCATCAGAGCTGTGAGGCCTCTGCCTTGTGGACAGAAGCCATGTGCATTCCCAAGGCGCTCAGCAAACAGCTGTCTGTGGGTCCAAAGGGAGCCTGCACCTAGCTCAGGGTGGGTCAGAAAAGGAGGAAAAGAGGTAGACCCTGCCACAGAGAGCTCACAGCTTCAGCAAAATGCACTGCTGGTCATACCCCACCCAGTCCACGGAGATGACGCCCCCATCCTCATCTCACAGACCCAACCAGAAGAAATTGATCAAAGGGGACACCAACTTCTATTACATCATCATAGAAATCATTCCTTAAAGGATCCAGGGTGACACTTCGGGGCTCCTCCATTCCACATTCTGAAGCTCTGATACCAATTCAACTGCTTGGCTACTTAACTGGCACCCCATGGGTTGTGCAAAAATGTTATGATCTAAGCAGCCCTTTCATGGAGGGCTGAGAGGGAGAGATGAGAGGGAGCACAGGAGGACAGAGGAAGTGGAGAAGCACTTTGTAATCTACCCAGGTGAGTTCTGGTCAGGCTTTTTCCTGCTATGCTCCAGTGCCAGTGGCCTGGGCCCCTCACCAATCTTGCAGAGAAGGAACGACTCCAGCACGGCCAACGTGGCAGGTTGGCAGGATCCTCAAGTTGTGCCATATTGCACAACTCCCAGGGGCCTCCATGGCATGGGCCACAGTGGAGGTGCATCTGTAGGCTGTGCCTGGCTGCCCTGATATTTATTCAGTCAGTTCTGAATCCACAGGCCCTGTGCCATGGTTGGTGCCAAGCTGATATCTGCAGCTGAAGGAATGAACACAAAGGAATGGGGAAGAGGCTGCCCCGTGACGGGTGACAGAAGAGTCCTACAGTTATGTGATTTACAGCTGAGCTTCTCTCCCACCCACCATGTATCCAGTTATGCTGAATATCATAAAAATGGAATTTGGGCATCCAGAGAGGATTTTAGAGGCTCTTGGCTATCCTTTTCCTCCCTGCTTTCTATTTTCCTTACTCCCTTTCCTGTCATGGAGCAGAGGTGACCCTCTGAAGTCTGGATTTCTGCATGCTGGGGGTGTGGCTTGGGCTCTGGTACATGAACACGTGCTCACATGCATGCTTTCACCCAAGATTAAATGTAGCCCTCCTGGCACAGGGAAAGGAGCTGGCAGAGGCGCAGGAGGTGATGGCAGGAAGAAGCACTGAACACCTGCCAGGGACACACTCCTTGGTGCACTCTGGGTTTTAAGTGTGATGCATAATTTGTGAAACGAGTCTGAACTGATATGTGGTTCTGGCTACACGCAGGGCTTTCCGGAATGAATGCTCTGACCAGGCAAGGTGGCAGCTGAGCCAGTGGATGCTCCTGGGACTCTCACAATGACCAAACTCTGGTTCATTCTTCAAGCTCTCTGCAATAGTGCATGCAGCAGAGGGTGCTGAGGCTACTTGTGGGCTTAGAGGTAGTTAGGTAAAGGGAGCCTCTATACCACTCCATCTTGCAGACCCAAGGGGAACAGGTAAGAAAGGGAGATGAGAAGGACTCCCAGGGGTGGCTCATAGGGATCATGGAGGGGGTGGAAACTGGGACTGAGCTGGCTACACAGAGGCCACCTGGGTCCATCAAGCTGGCCACAGAGAGCTTTCCTTCCTATACCCGGGAGGCTAGTCTGAGCACCATCCTAGTGAAGAGTATTAGAAATCAAACCTTATATTACAAATACTTCATTAGGCATTGAAGTGAAGCTCTGAGATGTGTTTGGAATCATGCCTCAGCATAAGGAAAGGCTCTTGTATAATAACCCAAAATAAGATACTTAGCCTTATCTGGTTTATAACAGACACGTGGATGCCTAGAACAGCACGCTCCATACAGCTAGTCGGCATCTACCTGTCCTCCCAGGACCTTACGGAGTGGGAGAGGCCCATCGGCCACCCCTTTCCTCATTTGGTCCTCCAGCTTGGAATATTCTCTCTCCTTCTTCTTTGTCTACTATTATCCTGTGCATTCTTCAAAGTCCAGCTTATGATTTAACCACTTCAGCTTTGATTCTTCTCCTTTAAATGCTTTCAAAATGGTTCTTAGAGTTTACACTCATTTATAGACATTCAATGATTCAATAATTTCTTGTGTTTTTTCCTCAAGGACCTTCAAGGTCATTGCAGACAAAGATCACACATCTTGACTTGTGTCTCTCAGCAGACTCTCACAGGGCTTGATACAGCACAGGTGTAGCATAAATATCACTTGATTGACATATGGGACCGAGATGGTCTCACTTGAAATAAGTGCATGGATGTTGCACATTAACTTTGGAGGGGTAGTCCTTTGCCCGCAGTACATGCTCTGAGTTTTTTCTTTTTCTTTTTTTTTCTTTTTCTTTTTTTTTTAGATGGAGTCTCGCTCTGTCTCCCAGGCTGGAGTGCAGTGGCCGGATCTTGGATCACTGTAAGCTCCACCTCCTGAGTTCACACTGTCAGCCTCCCAAGTAGCTGGGACTACAGGCGCCAGCCACCGCGCCCGGCTAGTTTTTTGTATTTTTTAGTAGAGACGGTGAGTTTTTAAAGTAATACAATATTTAAACATTATTAAGACATCTTTAAAGAAAACAGCACTGGAAGACGGGTGTTACCCTGCTCTATAAACCAGAACCTGGTACAAAGAATAAAGAAAGAGAGAGATTCCATCTTACCCATTAAGAAGTCACCAGTTTGCTAAGATCACTAGGTAAGTCTCAGATAAGTCACATTTTCTGCAGATTTCTGATTCTTCATCTAATACCATAAAAGTCTAAATAAACAAGTTCCCAAATTTTTCATGATCAAGGAGACTTTTCCTTTTAATTTACCCCCTTTTCTTCCTCTCATATAGGACCTGAGGTTTTGAATACCTTATTTTTTTCTCCTATTAAACAGTAATTATTAATACATTTCCCTCATCAGGTATTATAGACCAATAGGAACAATCAGGTGTTCTCACTGGCATCAGATGATCAGAGTAACCACTATTTGGAGTTGACAGAAGTCATTCTCAAAGAAAAAAACATGTTTTTATTAGCTGCTACAGTTACATCTCCAGTTATCGAGTGATATTTACTTTGCTCTTTGAAATTCTGAAATGAGCCCACTGACTCCTCCCTCTGCTGTTTAGCTTCTCAGATATTCAGGACCCCAGACTGGGGAGTTTTGAGGAGAGAGCCTCTGAGGTGCCTCTGTACTCTGAAGCTCCCTAGTTCTATGGCTGTACTTAACGAATGATGTTGTCAAATTCGTTCGACTATCTAATTATTATTGAAGACTTATTTCCAATTAGTTGAACAAAGGTCACATAGACTTGAACTGAAGTATGCTGGTGTTAGTAGGTGCTATTATGGTGGTGACAGAGTTGCATATTTTAATTTGTTCTTCTCTATTTCAACCTCAGCCAGATTAGCTGGCATTTGAATTTGAACCCTGATAATGTTTCATTGAGAAAGAGAGATGGAGAGACGGATTATGCAAATTTCTTCACACACGTTCCGCACACAGTTCAAACTTAGAGAGATTTACCTGAGGTTTTCTGAACTGAATTCGGACTCCAGGAATCGTAGAAACTGGTCCCGCCCCACCTGGTCCTTCAATATCTCATCGAAAGAGAAGCCCCATCTTTTTACTCGCTGTTGGCTGGGCTCTTTGCTTTGGGTGAAGGAAGAAGGTTTAAAAAAGATCAATACCAGAGAAAAGCTTGTGTCATATTCTCTTCAGTGACTCAAATCTGTTTTGCAGTCACTCACCAAAAGGAAACATCTCATATTTAAGGGGCAGATTCTACAAAAGCTGCACAAATTTCAAATGCAGACTTTGGTACACCAACAGTAACCAATGGTGAACAGTTTCTTTAAGGAGGCATGTTAAGTGATGATCAACGGCATTACCTTCAAATGGCTGCTGTCTACCATGCCATTGATTAAGCTCCCTGGACCGTTCCTAGCAATTATGGACCCACCTTTTGACTCTGTAATTTTTTCACTAGTACTATAACCAGGATGCTTCATGGACCCAATCTTTCATCAAAACACATTATCCCCCACCTCCCATCCCTTCCTCAATCCTCAGGGGAGAAATTAGGGTCCTGTTTCGAGCCAAGTGATGTACAACTGGTCAGAAATGTATTGACACATCCAGAATAAAGCATATTCTCTTGTCAGAAGCAGAATGTTATATGCATTTATTACCAACCATGTACGGTGCTTACTGTGTGCTAGACACTGTCTCAAGCATTTGAAATCTGTTAACTCACTGAGTCCTCACAACTACTCTGTGAAAAATGTACTAGTATTATTCCCATTTTCCAGATAGGGAAAGTGAGGCCTCACGATAGTCTGCCTAAGGACACACAGCTAGGAAGCCATGAAGTCCAGAATCAAATCTAGACAGCAAGGCTCCAGAGGGCATCCAGTTTTGTTTTGTTTTGTTTTGTTTTTTTCTTTTTCTTTTTTGAGATGGAGTCTCACTCTGTCGCCCAGGCTGGAGTGCAGTGGCGTGATCGCGGCTCGCTGCAACCTCCATCCCCTGGTTCAAGCAATTCTCCTGCCTCAGCCTCCCGAGTGGCTGGGACTACAGGCGCATACCACCACGTCTGGCTAATTTTTTTGTATTTTTAGTAGAGACAGGGTTTCACTGTGTTAGCCAGGATGATCTTGATCTCCTGACCTCGTGACCACCCATCTCAGCCTCCCAAAGTGCTGGGATTACAGGTGTGAACCACTGCACCCAGCCCCAGTTCTTAATTCTGCTATGCTGCATAGCTCATCTTTGCTATGCTGTCTCACATTCAGACTAAAGTATGGGCATTGGTCTAATTCTTCTGGTGTTGGGCAATAAGAATATTTCCTTCAGCTTCTGTCTTTCCATTTAAAGTCCACTTGCTGTATTTATTTTTTTGGCCCTTGAAACAGCAGTAAGGTCCTAACTCACAAGTCACACGCTGCAACTCTTCCCTATTCAAGCTGTGGTCTGTGAACCAGAAGAACCACAGGCCCCACCTGCACCTGCTAAATCATAACCTACAGTTCAACAAGAGCCCAGGTGATTTACATGCACATTACAACTTGGGAAACATTGGTCTGGCAATACTCATTTTTCCTCTTTTAAAAAATAGACGCATATATTTTATTATTTCTAACAGACAGTAAGAGATTAAATCATGTTTCCTCTTATTATGGAGCTGATATATTCTCAATACTTAGAAAACTGCACTTAGTAAAAAAAAGAGAGAGAGCTGTGTGTGGGAAAGCTTGGAAAAGCAAATAACTGTAGACTGGCACTGTCCAGTATAATTTCCTGTGATGATGAAAATATTTCATAATTGTGTTCTCCAATATGGCAGCCACTAGCCCCATGTGGCTACTGGGCAGTTGAAAAGTGGCTAGTGTGATTGATGAACTGAATTTCAAATTGCATTTAATTTTAAATAATTCAAATTTAAATTTAAATAGCTACATGTGGCTACTGGCTACTATATTGGTATGCAGCTCTAGATATACCCCATCCAAACCCAACTACTTCTGCACCAACACACATAATCAGCAACAGCAGTATCTTCTAATTACAACAATGACGACCAATAGATCATGAGCTTGGGGGTCAGGGAGCCTCTGGCTTGCAACTCTGCATTTCCAGACATAGTCCAATAGGGTCATGGTGGTAGACTAACCCTATCAGGTCAAACAATGGGAGATTCCATGCAAGATCTCTTCCAAAGCACCAGGCTAGGCATGAAGACAAATCCTGGATTCTCTCAAACGCAAGTCACAGACCTAATCAAACTCAATAACTTTCAAGGGAACCAAAAATACTGTTTATGGAAGAATTCCCCTGGGGTTGAGGCTAGCAGCAAATTTAAGCAAATGTCCAGAGATTGCAGGACATTGTCTCTTTCTGCCAAGGTCATGCTGTAAAGGATGGACCCAACCATTTACTCTTTACCAGTGTTCTCCAGGGTCGGTACTAGTGGCAGCTGTACCTCGACTGAGGGCTGCGCCCATAGTAGCAGCTGTAGAAATTTACTCAGACTTTGTAGTGACTGCCTCATGGATGCACACTCACCACCAGTGTCACCCCTTTCTGGTACCCAGGTGGTGAGTCCACATTCATTCCACTAGATTCCTTGGTGGTGGCAAGAGTGGGAGAAAGGCAATTTTTGGAGTGGGCCAGAAATCTTGGGGTGTCACTGTAGATGTAGAATCAGAGGGAGGCTTAGGACAGAAGTTGGGGGTATCTGGAAAATTGCAAGGTCACAATTCAGCAGAAATAAGTGGGTCTAGAGAGCCAGGGTACCCTGATGTATTAGTTTCTTAGGATTGCCATAACAAAGGACTAACAAACTGGGTGGCTTAAAAGAGCAGAAATTCATTCTCTCACAGTTCTGGAGGCCAGACGTCCAAAATCAAGGTGTTGACAGGGCCATGCTCTCTTGGAAGGCTTTAGGGGAGAACCAGCTTCATGACTTTTCCTTAGCCTCTGATGTCGGCATTCTTCAGCTTGCAGATGAATCACTCCACTCTCTCCTCCTGTGTTTCTGTGTCTCCACATGGTGTTTGCTCTGTATGTGTCTGTGTCTCTGCTTTCTCTTCTTACAAAGTCATAAGTCATATTGGATTAGAGGCCCACCCTATTCAAGTATGACCTCATCTTAATTACCTGCATCTGCAACAACTCTATTTCCAAATAAGTCAGATTCTGAGGTTCTGGGAAAGACATGAATTTTTAGATGATACAATGTAATCATGTGTCCTTGGCTTCCCTCAACTATCCATTATTCACAATGGTATTTCTACAACGGATGATCCACATTTCTTCCTTGTTTTCCTAGTACGATTTCACCATTGGGAGTCTGTTCTATTAAAAGCTTCCTGGATACAACTTCCCTATACATATCTCTTCTGTATCGCTTGAGCATTCCCAGTATCATCCATTTTAAGGTTTAAGAAAAGACTTGAACATGTTGCTACCACTGAATGGCCTCTTGTGGTTATAACATAATTCTGCAAATTAAAATATCTTTCAACATCCAACTCCAGGTGAGTGGTAGAATACTGTCTCTTAGCCAAATTCAAGCCAACAATCCACAGAAGCACAGCCTCTTTACAACCATTATGTAGAGATATGTCCTTGGGACAAATTCTCTAGTAGAGTTTTGTGTCAGCACTTGGGTTTTCAAGGGTTTGCACTGTCTTTCCAGCTATCTTCTTAGCTCTTTGAGGTCAGGGACCATATCTCATGTGTCTTTGTACTGAGCATAGGACTTTTCACATGGCAAGTATTCAGCCCTAAAATGAAATCAATTTAGAAAGGTGTATAGTGATGTGGGTGAAGTGTCCTTATCCTGACAGTGTTTTCTAATCGCTAGCTGGATGCCTTTTTCTAACTCTTACTTGTCCTCTGTGTCTCGTCATTCTCACCAAGTTCCTGCCTCCCACTGGACAACCCAAACCAACACATAGCAAAGACAGGTGGCTCTCCAAGAGTATCTGTCTTTCATTCCTGCTGATCCGCCAGCTAGAGATGGAGGAAAGCTGCCAAACTGAGGACAAGAAAGCCAGATTCAAAGGGAGCAACAGTCTATATCAATGCTCGTTTCTGCAGGAGCTTCATAGTGCTAGGCATGGTGTAAGGAGCTTTCGTTACAGTGCCCCATTTAAATCTTAATATAAGGCAGGGAGACTGACAATAGTATTTAAACATCCAGAGTTCAAAAGAGGTCAGATTGTCCAAGGCCACACAGCTGGTAGGTGGCAGTCTGGAAGTGGATCCCAGGACTGCCTGTCTCCAAAGCCTATTCTTTGTTTCTACTCTGTTACCTTGCCTTCTACTGCATTTGCCTCATTCAACATCTAAACAAAGACTTGGGGAAGATATGAGCTATCTTCAAAACAGTTGAGAATTATGTTAAGGACTAAATGTTTGTGTCTCTCTCCAAATTAATATGTTGAAATCTTGATCCACAACGCGATGGTATTAGGAGACAGGATATTTGGGAGGCGATCTGGTCATGAGTGGGATTAGTACTCTATAAGAGAACCAGAGAGAGCTCTCTTTCCCTTCTGTCATGTGAAGACACAGCAGGAAGACAGCCATCTATGAACTAGAAAGCAGATCCTTACCAGATATTGAATTTGCCAGCACCCTGATCTTGGATTTTCTAGCTCCAGAACTGTGAGAAATAAATTTCTGTTGTTTATAAGCCACACAGTCTGTAGTATTTTTGTAATAGCAGCCCTAACAGACTAAGACAGAAATTCATACTGCGAGTGGGATGCTGCTGTAATGAACAACCAAAAATGTGAATGTGGCTTACAGGGTAATGAATAGAAGCTGGAAGGTTTTGAGATATATGTTAGAAAAAGCCTAAATTGGCTGGGTGTGGTGGCTCACATCTGTAATCCCAGCACTTTGTGAGGCTGGGACACTTTGTGAGGATCACAAGGTCAGGAGTTTACGACCAGCCTGGCCAACATGGCAAAACACCATCTTTACTAAAAATACAAATATATATATATATTTATTTATATATTAGCTGGGCGTGGTGGCGGGCACCTATAATCCCAGCTACTCGGGAGGCTGAGGCAGGATAATTACCTGAACCTGGGAGGTGGAGGTTGCAGTGAGCCAAGATCATGCCACTGCACTCCAGC